TTCTTCAGCTTCTCCTGTGTTTCAAAAAACCAGAGGCTGGTTGACAAGAAGCACCTTCCCACTCTATCCTGTCATGTACCGTCCCTTGTCGGTTGCACTCACAACTGCAGTTAGTTGAGTATGACTCACTTTAGAAAATTTGTCAAGTTCAGCACACTTCTTCATGGCCACAACTAAGGTCCCAACCTCCCTCACATTTCCAATCCCAGCTCCACTTGTGAGCCATACTCCTGCTGGATAACAATATTTACTTTGCATCCTGGACTCTGTGTCAACCGCCCTCTAAGAGCCACCCGGGCTGCTGCTTCCCTTTTTCCCCAAAAGACAAAAACTTGGCTTTTCAGTGGCTGTGCCAGGCTCCCTGAAATCCTAAGTAAACCGTGTGAGCTCTATGGGCCTTGCCGGAGCTTTTCAGTGTTTTTGAAGGATTTGATTTTCCTTAAATAGAATTAGCAACCAACTTGATTCGATGAAGTTTTTTTAAAAAGATGCTTCATTCGTTTTTCTTTGGAACTGAAGATAGGTCCGGCTGCTTTAAATGTCAGAGAAACATCAAAACAAAACAAAACAAGAAAGTTGCAAACAGATGCCAAAAAAGACTGCAGTTGTGGATAAGTTTCCATTTGAATTCTTCCGGTAATTGCAAAGCTGTGGGTGGGTGGGGAGTATGCATGTCATTTCTTGCGTATCATTAATTTACGATTAAACTGACTCTGAAATTCGATTTTCAGGGTGAAATTACTTAATATCTACTACACGTTAATGACTTTCTATAGAGTGGACAGGATTCATTACCTAAAATGTGGTTAATCTGCAAACCACGAATAGAGCGCCTGTAATTTCTTGCCTCTGGCTTCTCCAGTAGTTTCAAAAAGGTTTTGTAATAAACCATCCTGCACCACAGGGCCCCATCGGCCCCTTCAGCTGGAAGGAAGCAATTCACCTGTGACTGTGCAGTAGTTGGTAGCTTCACAGGCTCACTCCAACCACAACACAATGAAAACGCAGTGCAGGCTGCTAGCCTTCCAGCTCCAGCGCCTCTGTTCCTGCGAGTGTAAGTACCGAGCGCTCCCTTTGTCATGTATGGTTCTGCAATACATCAGGCAGAGGCCCAGGAAGGGGGCCCCAGCCGGAGCTGCGTTGCCTCTTCCCAAATCTCCCTTTCTTCTGAGTTGCCACTGCGCACACTAAAATATATTTATGTGGCTCAAGTGAGACTTAACTCCCTAAATTATATCGGGTCCTGGAATGGTTTAAAGGCCCCTTTGGCCAATTATATTTACTTCTGTTTATACAAACTGGCAAGAAGCTACTACTGTGCGCTGGCTCTCAGCCCCCTCCAAGCTCCTTCGTCTACAGTCACTTTTATGAGAGATAGAATATTTTACATCAAAATCCCTGGGCAGTTTTAGGAAGAGGAAGAAAGGAAGAATATATTACATTTATTTGCTCTTGCTCCCAATGAGCGTAAGAAAGAGAAGTCCTCTCCTCTTGAGTTTGTAGTTTAGAATTTCCAGGCATGCAGTGTTTTGAGAGATGAAAAAACTCAGAAGTAGCTGCTTTTAAGGGAAACTCTAGGTAAAGTATTATGTACATCTGCCCATGGGTTTCTGGTGCATTCCATTTTAACGACACGCAAAGTAGAGGAGAGCTAGGTAGGTCTTCAACATTTCTGCTTATAACGTTTTAAAAGTTAACCCAGAGGCCATTTTAAGAAAGGTGATGCCCTAAAAACGAAGTGTATGGAAACCGAAGCACACACTGGCAGGAAGGCCAAAATTAGAAGCATCTGTAAGGGCAGGGCTGGGGGTCACCAGCTGCAGAGTGGGGGCCCACAGTACCTGAGCACCTTTTCCCTAGAATGGTCCTGCACCTCTCAGTTGCTGAGATTCCAATCCAGCACCCATGGCCCTCAGCCTGCCGGGAATAGGTCCCCTGAAGAACCCGGCTTTCCTAACCCCCAGAGAATGCCGGACCTGCGTGCCCGACACTGCCCGCCCCTGTAGCACCTGTCCCCACAGTGCGCCCAGATGTCCTCCCAGGCACTGCGGGTAGAGCAGGGAGTTCTCTAGATTGTTGTAAGCAAGTCACTTCCCATGTAACCTGAGAGAGTTGGGTTCCAGCCCTAAAATTCTAGAGTCTCCCCCCAAACCCTACATAAATCAACACCCCCTAAACCCCCACTGCTCTAAGGCACGGTGTACGCCAGAGACCAGCACCCTGATGTTTCGGATCCTGCTGTTCTCAGTCACCCTACAGCGGTTTCCCCTCCACATCTGACTGAGGCGGGGTTCCGGGAAGACTCAAAGCCAATGTCAGGCAGCCGCGGGTAGGGGCTGTCCCAGGGGAGAGAGGAAGCCAGGCGGAAGCACCTGCTGCACGCATCTCCTTAGGGATGCGGCCTGAAGGGAAGTCGGGCTGCTCTGAGCTGAGGGTGGGATCCCAGCCCGATCTGGCGGGGATACCTGGAGGAGACCTGCCTGCTGCCCCGGAATGAGAGGGAAGGGAGGGGGGCGGGAGGGGCGAGAGGGAGGGAGGCGGACAGAGAGACGGCCGGAGCGGGCCCCAGGCCGGCCACTCACCACGAGCGGGATGGAGCAGATGAGCACCACCAGGGAGGTGGCGATGAGTAAGATGACCATCTGGATCTCGGCGCCCGCGATGCGGCGGAAGCTCCGGCGGCGGCGAAAGTCGTGGAGGCGCGGCAGGGCGGGGGAGGCGGCCGGGGACCCCCGGCAGGCGGCCGCGGCGGAGGCGAAGGCGGAGACCGCGTGGTGCGCCTCGGTGCCCAGCGAGGTGCGGCGCATGAACTGGCGGTGCATGCGGAGCAGCGCGCCGCACACCAGCACGTTGCAGAGCACGGTGGCGAGGATGAGGAAGGAGCTGAAGCCCGCGTACATGTAGGAGAAGGCGGCGTGCGCCGTCACGTTGGTGGTCCAGTCGATGAAGCACCAGGTGTCCGGGTACTGCAGCCGCGAGCTGCCCAGGCCCATGTTGGGCAGCGCGCAGAACAGCACGTTGGACGCATAGACGGCGAAGAGCGTGAGGCCCGCCAGCCGCTTGTCCACGTAGTGGCTGTAGAAATAGGCGTGGTTGATGGCCAGGTAGCGCTCGATGCTCATGGCGCAGATGATGCTGAGGCCCGACAGGCCGAAGAAGAGCAGGATGAAGGTGCTGTACTCGCACAGAGCCGAGCCGCCGGGCCACTCGCCCTTCATGTACGTGGCGATGGTCACCGGGCTCACCAGCAGCGTGCCCAGCAGGTCGGTGACGGCCAGCCCGCACACCAGCGTGTAGAAGGTCGTCTCCTTCTGCTCCTTGCGCGATTTGCACAGCACCACAATGGCCACCAGGTTGCCCACCACCCCGAAGATGAACATCACCGCCGGGATGGTCACTGGGCTGTTTCGGACCTCGGGTTCAGAGGCGGAGGCATTGGCCACAGGGGCGGACATGGTGGTGGCCGGCACGGCGCGGCTTGGAAGTGCGAGGCTGGGTCTGGGGAGGGGAGGAGAGACACAGGAGCTGTGAGATGCAGTCACCACCAGCCAGGGGTCCGATCCGCGCCCCACAGACAGTATGTAGAGGAGACGGAGAATGGCTCGATCCTACTTTGTGAACTGTAGCCACTTGCCAACTGCGGTTACCCAACTCCCCCGGCTCCGGATGCGTCCTGCCGGCGGCACCCTCCACGCGCATTAATATTTATAAGTGGATGCAGCCATTCTCTCCTCCCCACTTCCCCCCTCCGCAACTCAATTTCACTCCACTGCCAAGATGAACAAGGCCTATCTCAAGGGAAAAGTGGTTCGCTCTAATTCCCGACAGATTCTGAGTCAATAAAATCCTCACTGAAACAATTAGGAAAGACAATTTGGAGAGCGCGCGCTCTCCTCCGCGGCTCCGCTCTCTGCCCAGTGCCCCCCCACCCCATCTCACCTGTGGTGGCGGCGAGAGCTCCCAGAGTCAAGCCTCCGATGTGCTGGACACGCCTCCAACCTGCCCTCAGCCTCGCCCCGCGCAATGGGGAACCTGTCCAGCCCTCGCCTCCTCCGAGCCGGGTCTCCGGTGGCTGCCAAGTTTCTGGAAGTGGGGTCAGCGTGGCCAGCTTTCAGAAACGCGGGGAGCCAGAAGGGCAGCGGGGAGGGGTCTGTGAAGCCGGCTCCGGGGTCTCGTCCCTTCTATGTTTCCGGCCCTTCCCCGATGGTCCCAGCTTGGCGGGTCCGGGGGCGGAGAGCCCGAGGTGCGCGGCCGCGCGCAGGTGGCACTGAGCGCCGGTGCCGGCTCGGCCGCCCTCCTCCGCGGTCCCGGGCAGCGCGGGCGGCTACCGGGGCTGGCGGCTGCCGCGGAGGCCGCCTCTGGCTCCCTGGGGGCGGCGTGAGGTCCACTGGGCCTGAGGCTCTGACCCGGGGCCGCTCATCTTCTTCCTCTCGGGCCGCCGCGCTCCGCGCTCCGCGGGTGCCGTTCCAGCCGGTCTCTGGACAAACTTTTCTCCGGCTTCAAGTTTCCCTGCGGAGGCGGGACCACGGCGCGCGGCCCGGGCGCCCATTGGCCGGGCGGGCGGGCGGGGGCGGGGCGCGGCGGGCGGGGCTCGGGCTGTGCGGGTCCCACCGCGCCGCGTGGGGACGCTGTCCGTGGCTTCCCCTCGTCGCCAGGGCGGGAAGGTCGCGGGGTCAGGTTCCCGCGCCTCGCGCTGACGGCGCGGAGAGACCGCCCTAGGCGGGGAGTCTGGGAAGCCGGGCCCGCTCCCGGGCCCCCTGGTAGCCCCTCTGGACTCGGCATCCCGGGCCCAGCGCTGGAACCAGCATCTCTGACTCGCTGCCTCCCGCTCCCGGGGGCTGTTTCTCGCACCGCTACACGCAGGTCGCAAACCCGCTTGCTGGGAGGTGTGGTCCACCGCTCTAGGACTCTCCCTGGCGCGGCCCCAGGTTAGAAGTAGGGTGCGCGCTACGGCCCCCCAGGGCGGGTGGGTACCAGGCTTGGGCGGGGAAACCACGAAGCCATCCTCTCCCCGTGAATGGGGTTAGTTGGCAGTTCCCACGCTGTAGGCTGCGCTCCGTAGGGTAGCCCCGGGCAAAAAAAAAAAAAAAAAAAAAAAGGGGCGGGGGGAGCCGGGATAGAAAGCTCTCCCAGAGCAGGTGGCAGCGCCCAGCAGCTTGGAGAGGTGGCCCGCGGGTATCACGTGGGAAAGGAGAGAGCGTGGGAGGGCTGTCTAACCGCGGAGACCTTTTTCCTCTAGGCACTCCGCCCTGTAGGAACGGCTACACTGAGGTTTGGGCCTTTGCCCTGTTATATTCACGTTCCAGACCTTTACCATGAATCCTTGGACCGGCTGATGCAGGGTGAGACAGGAATGGGAAGTCCTGAGAGTAAAGGAATTCTCCAGGCATTACCTCAATGGTTAACTTTTGGAAAAGCCTACCTTCTTTTGAAGTAGAGTTTGATTTCTTTTAAGGTGGGAACAGTTTTTCTGTATACTCATTATTCACTTCTTTCTACTCTATTTCCTAAATTCAGAACTGAAAACAAAAAAAAAAGAAAGAAAAAGATTGTGAAACTTCATGGTGTGATTATAACCGTTTTACCATTTTTTTAAACCATAAAGTGAGACGTGTGGGCCTTCACAGAATTTAAATTCCTAGAAAAACCTCTTTCCTTGTGCCCCCTTATGCATTTTAACGTATTGCATTTCCTCACAGTTAGTGAATAACTCTATTTCTTTATATCTGATAAGCAGTCACTGAGTCCTTAAATGTTATTTTATGAATGAACAAACCTAAGACTTTATCTGGTTCTCCAGTTATTCTCAAATGGCACAGTAACAACTGAGCAATATAAACAAAGAGGGCATTGCAGGCTTCAATGACAGGACATCAACTGTCTAGAGTAGACTTACATTGACTGTGGAAGGCACCATGTGGACGTATTACTACAGCATCATTCTATTTATACTATTTCCTCATGAATATCAGGGATTCAAAACCGGAAACATTTGTTATCCAACAAAAAGAATTGATGGCTATTGGTCCATCTCTTAGAGTCCTTGCTTAATCACCTCTATGATCACTTCTTTTGCCCATGCTTCTTTTGAGTAGGAACTTCTATGATTGTGTCAGCACTGAAAACACAGCAACACTAGAAACAGGAAACTGCACATTCTACCCCCATCCTTCTCTAACCACATTGCATCACTGTCACCCTGTCAGGTGGTTGTCAGTCAGTATGTGAAGGTGAGGTGGGAAGTCCCACCTCTTTCACTTTCTGCTGATAAAAGCATCTTTCCATCTGAAGTTCCAAAAATGGAAAGCAATCAAGACTGGTAGATGTTATTTTTTCATGATAGAGTATATTAAATATAAAAAAATTTAGGCACATGGCAGAGATGATTACATAGTAATCAGAGATAACAGGTATTACAGGTTTTAGCATGTCATTGATAACTTGGGCTTATTATCAATGGAGCTGTTTTTCTTTCTAGTCCTTAAAAGTTTTTTTCCACAGTAGCTTTAGGAAGATGAAAATAAATAAGAATCCAGGACACAAAACTAAAAAAAAAAAAATGTAATGAGGTTTACCTGTTTACCTGTACCCCTGTTGGTGCATGATTCTTACAGGTTAAGTTTAGCCTTCAGAAGTAGAAGTTAAAGATTTGGGAAACAAATCATTCTTAATTTGAAAAACTGGGACAGTATAGTTCTATTTCCCACACACTCTGCCAGGAACCCACATTGCAAAATGAAGAATTGTCATGTGTAGGTGGACACTGTTTGTGTATTTCCTTTAAAGAGATTTTTATTTTAAACATTGTTTTCTATCCTCCCCTGCAGTTTCTGCCGGAATCCCACTTCTCTGCACTGGGAGACCTTGGCTCAGCTCTTTAGAACTGTCTTGAGTTCCTCTCTGAAGGTTTGAACTAGTGCAAGAATGGCCTGCCTGACCAGTTCCATTGCTCTCTCTGGGCTAATTATTTGACTACTCTTTTGAGTAAACACCATAAGGTGAGAACCCAAAAGTGAAGACTGCTTGGGGCAGCCAACCACATTCTCTTTGACTCGGTTGAATTGTCCTTGGGTCAAAGGAACGGGTAAGAAAGGGGATACTTGCTGGGAGGAATGCAGCAAGATGAATCAGATCTGGCCCGAACCCCTTACTGTACTAGGCCAAAGCTGGCCACGTCTGACTTAGAGCATTTCTGCAGCACTAGCGTTCGTGGAGCAAAGCCTGTGCAAATGGTGTTTGCTCTCTGTCTTCCATGACAGGCCATGCAGATACTCAAAACAGAGTGAAAAAGTCATCTATCTGGTATAAATAACCCATGGCCTTGGCCACCTTCGCCTTCCACATGCTCACCCAGTTGGTTCGGTGGATTACAAGCATGCCAAGCACTGACCTTGGGCATGAAAAGAGGTCCTGGATGGTGTTTGTGGTCCTGATGACCGCCCTCCCATGTTAGTGGTGCGTGTCAAATGTGTGGTCTCCAAATCATTTCATTTTCTAAGCATGAATTTTATGCTGAGTCTAGTGCGTGGATTTGTTACACACGTGGGTACTAGAATGAACTCCCCAACATCTTCATGTGGTGATGAATTGCTGCCGGGGAGGCTGGTTGCCACCAAATGATGGCTTCGGGCTGCCTCCTTCTCTGGCAGTTACACTCCTCCAAGTGATGGCTTTCTTCCCTTTTATTCTTTCCCCCATTTTGCTCCAAATAAATATTTTCACTGTACACCCCTTGTAGATTGAGCTAATGAACAAAGAAAGGGGATTGTTTACTTACTGTTGCTCATTTTTGAAGATACAGTGGGGAGATAAAGCCTTATGAGTTCAGGTGTCTCATCTACAGGATGATGGACACTCTGATTATATTTCAGTTTCCTCTCATTCCTTCCCCCCCACCCCCACCTCCCCCACCTCCCGCCCAGAATTGCTGTATATTTTAGCACTACACAGAGTCTCCCTGGTTGAATCAACCACACCACACACTACCATAATCTGTAGCTTGTTAGTCACTTTCCACAGCATTTTCACACTTGCTATGATCTTATTAGTCACCTCCTGAGGATGTTTGGCAGGTGTGATGCAGATTGTCACGTTTCACCAAATGCTGTTTCCCTTTCTTCTGGAACCTGTGGCTGGATGTTATTTCTCATACTTCTGTGGTTACGTGTAGCCCGGGTGACTGGCCTCCAGCCAGTGGAATACAGGTAGAAGTGATGTGTGCCACTTCTAGGCCTGGTCCTTAAAAGACCCCCAATCCTCAGAGGTGCTGTCTTCCTTCTGCCAACAACATACAAGGCCCTGGTGTATCGCAAAGCCATTAGATAGAAGGTGACTGGGTTGCTGAATGCCTGCATGGAGTGGGGACCTCATTCCAATCCCAGTGGCTCTCATGGGACAATGAAGTGAGAGAGGAACACTCCATTGAGACTTGAGGGGCTGCCTGTTTCAGCAGGTAGCCTATGCTTCATACAGCATGATTGGAATCATCTCGTTTTACTAATAACAATGTAGGCATAGAAAAGCCATGGAACTTGCTCAAAGGCATGAGTGGGAAGACCAGCTGAAATGTATTCAATAGTCTGTGTGAGACACTGTGCTGAATGCTTTATGCATGTGCTCTATATACCTAATTCTCACAACAAAGCTACGAGGAAGGTAATATTCCCATTTTATAGATGAGAAAACTGAAGTTTGATTATTTTTAAAAAGACAGCAGAGCCTTTGGGGATGATGGTGCTGAGGTTCCTGCAGTAAAAGTGGCTGCCGGCTGAGGCATCTTGACCACCCGTGTGCTACTGCCAGGCTTCCCATTGACCCTGTGTGATTGGTTGTCTTTCCAATAAATTCCTTTCCTGCTTAAAGAGACCAAACTCAGTTTCTGTTGCTTGTGAATCATAACCCCACCCAGTACAAGGAGGCTGAGTGAATTACAGATCGCATTGTTGACAAATGACAGGGCAAAAAATTTAATCTAGACCTGTCTGATCCCCAAACCTGCACCCCTAACCTCTGTATTTCTTAACCCAACTGGAACTCGAACCGTATGACTCTTACATCTCTTTCTTCCTCAGTGTCATGGGCTTTGAGATAAAGAAAATCAGAGTTCAAGGCCATAGTACGTAAATTGCCATAGTGAAAAGTAGTGTTTATTAAGTTGGTTCTTTTTAAAATATATTTTTGATTTCAGAGAGGGAGAGGGAGAGAGAGATAGAAAATTAATGATTAGAGAGAATCATTGATCGGCTGCCTCCTCAAACCACCTCCCCCCCCCCCCCCCCCCCCCCCCCCCCCGCAGCACCACCACACACTCACAAACACTGGGGATTGAGCCCGCAACCCGGACATGTGGCCTGAGTGGGAATCGAACCGTGACCTCTCGGTTCATGGGTCACTGCTCAACCACTGAGCCATGCCTGTCAGGTTCTAAGTTGGTTCTTTTCAAGTTTAAATAATATAATAATGAATACAAATAAAATGTCATTTCCATATTTAAAAAAATATTAGCCTATGATTGTATTTATTATATATAATTACATCTCCAAAATTGACTTCTAATGATTGTACGATTAGTTGTTGGGCATAAATTGTTTAGAGGGTGTGTGGTAAGTTGAGAATATATAACTTTGATATAACTTACTTTTGCCTGGGCCTAATCCAAAACACCCAAAGACTGGTTTTGTGTATAATCACAAAAGAGGTAATTAAGGTAATTATTCAGATAATTTAGGCAGTCCCTATCCCTGCCTTTTGATGAGAAGGAAATAATTGCTTTCAATGAGATGATTTCTATTGCCTACTGATACCGCTGCACTGCATTAGCTAATTGCTCAGGAGTACATTTAATATTGATTATGATATCACTGTGTTAATTAAAGAGATATTAGTGAATTTTACCCCAGACACCTGGTTCTTTTCCAGGTGAATTTTTTTTTGAGATATTTGTAAGCAAAACTGAGACACATTTATTTGGGAGAGATGAGTATAAATCTGTCTGGAAACAATGAGTCAATGTGATGACCATCTGCTTCCCCTTCCCCTTGCCCACTCGGAAATACCTCTCCCAGTTTGGTCTGTTACAAAACCAAAGACTGCCCTAGCCGGTTTGGCTCAGTGAATAGAGCGCCAGCCTGTGGACTGAAGGGTCCCAGGTTCTATTCAAGTCAAAGGTACATGCCCGGGTTGCGGGCTCAAGCCCCAGTGTGGTGTGTGCAGGAGGCAGCCGATCAATGATTCTCTCTCATTATTGATGTTTCTCTCTCTCCCTTTCCCTTCCTCTCTGAAATAAAAAAAATATATTTAACAAACAAAAACACCAAAGATCAAAGCCACCACATCCCAATAAAAGATAAGGTAAAACCATGACTAATAATGGTATATACATCTAGCAACTCACTACCCATCACTTCACTCCTAGGAAGAAAGTGCCAAAAGCAAGAAGCAGAAAATCCTTTACAATATTTCTGATGTGCTTATAACCACTTAATTTAATTTTCTATTTCATGTGAAGTAGTTTACAACTCCTGCAGCTACCAAAGGGACAGACAACAACTTCTATGATGTGTTTTTATTGTTTTGTTTTTGACCACCACACAGCTTTATTGGCACAATCTGCATGAGATGCTACTGGCCTGTCCCAAGGAGGACAAACAGGCCTTTTCTCTCCTACTGTTACTGAAATGTAAGGCAACACCATTGCAAAGCAAACTTAACACATTCTTGGCAAACGATTCTTAGCCCCTGTTTTAATTATGATCATATGATCATTGGGGGGGGGGGGGCAGGGGGAAGGGAGATGGGAAGGGAGGAGCATGCCTGTTCCCAAGACACGTGGCTGCAGAGGGCAGGTGTGGCCATGTTCCTCAGTGGTCCTGCACCTCTCTGGAAAAGATGCTTTCGGGCTCCTTCCCATCCTCCAAGACAGCAGCAAATCCTCCCTCTTGCCTCCTTCTGGCCAAAGCAGCCAAGGATTTAAAAGTTTTCGGTTCATCGATGGCCAGATCAGCCAGCACTTTCCTGTTGAGCTCCACCTGGCACTTAATTAAATTGCCAACGAACGCTGGGTAATGCAGCCATGTTCCTGGGAGGCAGCTGTAATTCGATTAATCCAGAGCGTCCTCAGGACCTTCCTCTTCCGTCTCCGGGCTTTCCTGCATTTCACAAACGCTCTGATCACAGCCCAGACAGACGGCCAGCCGGTAGGTAGCGGCAGTTCTTCAGCACCTCCCACACCTGCCAGTAGCGGTTTGTGATGTGGCTCCACAGCCCGAGCTGCGTCGTGAGGAAGACCATGGCGCCCAGGTGGTGTCCCTGCTTTTTTTGTCTGTGTTTTTTTAAAGTGGAATCAAACAGCATTTGTCTTTTTAAAAAAATCTTTATTGCGATTATTACAGATATCCCTCTTTTTTCCCCCCATTGCCCCCCTCCACCCGGTTCCCGCCCTGCCCCAGGCCTTCGCCACCCTCTTGTCTGTGTTCATAGGTAATGCATATATGCATATAAGATCTTTGTTTAATCTTCCCAACCCCTCACCCCACTTCCCTCTGAGAATCCTCAGTCTGTTCCATTTCCATGCTTCTGATTCTATTTTATTCACCAGTTTATTCTGTTCATTAGATTTCTTATTCATTTATTTTGAGTTTTAGTTTCAATTGTTGATAGGTATGTATTTGTTGCCATTTTGTTGTTCATATTCTTTATCTTTTTCTTTTTCTTCTTCCTCTTCTTAAAGAATACCCTTCAACATTTCATGTAATACTGGTTTGGTGGTGATGAACTCCTTTAGCTTTTCCTTGTCCATGAAGCTCTTTATCTGACCTTCAATTCTAAATGATAGCTTTGCTGGGTAGAGTAATCTTGGTTGTAGGTCCTTGCTATTCATCACTTTGAATATTTCTTGCTACTCCCTTCTGGCTTGCATAGTTTCTGTTGAGAAATCAGCTGACAGTCGTATTGGCATTCCCTTGTAGGTAACAAACTGCTTTTCTCTTGCTACTTTTAAGATTCTCTTTTTGTCTTTAGCCCTTGGCATTTTAATTATGATGTGTCTTGGTGTGGCCCTCTTTGGGTTCCTCTTGTTTGGGGTTCTCTGTGCTTCCTGGACTTGTAAGTCTATATCTTACACCAGGTAGGGGAAGTTTTCTGTCATTTCTTCAAATAGGTTTTAAATATCATGCTCTCTCTCTTCTTCTGACACCCCCATAATGTGAATGTTGGTATGCTTGAAGTTGTCCCAGAGGCTCCTTACACATCTTCATATTTTTGGATTCTTTTTTCTTTTTTGCTCTTCTGGCTGGGTATTTATGCTTCCTCATATTTTAAATTGTTGATTTGATTCTCAGAATCCTCTAGTCTACTGTTGAATCCCTGTATATTCTTCTTTATAACAAAATTTTTTTTATTGATTAAGTTATTACATATGTGTCCTTATGCCCACATTACCTCCCCCCCCCCATATTCTTCTTTTTTTATGATGTTTTATATCAACAAACATTTGAAATATAAATATTCACCACTAGGGGAATTTTAGCTAAATTATTTTTTAAAATTTCCATTTTCTTTCTTTCTTTCTTTCTTTCTTTCTTTCTTTCTTTCTTTCTTTCTTCCTTTCTTGTCTAAAGTTTTACATATGTCTCCTTTTTCCCCGATTGACCCCCACCTCCAGCCATTCCCACCCTTGGCAAGCCCCCACAGTGTCTGTGTTCATTGGTTATGCTAATATGCATTCATACAAGTCCTTTGGTTGCTCTCTAACCACCCCTTCCCCTGCCATTTGTCTCTGGATCTATTCTTGTTCATCAGATTATGTTGATCATTATATCCCACATATGAGTGAGATCATGTGATGTTTATCTTTCTCCAACTGGCTTATTTCACTTAGCATAATGCTCTCCAGTTCCATCCATGCTGTTGCAAACAGTAAGAATTCCTTCTTTTTTACAGCAATGTAGTAGTCCATTGTGAAGATGTACTACAGTTTTTTAATTCACTCATCTGCTGATGGGCACTTAGGCTGTTTCCTAATCTTAGCTATTGTAAATTGTGCTGCTATGAACATAGGGGTACATATATCTTTTCTGATTGGTGTTTCTGGTTTCTTGGGATACAGTCCTAGAAGTGGGATTACTGAGTCAAATGGGAGTTCCATTTTTAACTTTTTGAGAAAACTCCATGCTGTCTTCCACAGTGGCTGCACCAGTCTGCATTCCCTCCAGCAGTGCACAAGGATTCCTTTTTCTCCACATCCTTGCCACCACTTGTACAGGTGTGAGATGCTATCTCATTGTTGTTTTGATTTGCATCTCTCAGATGATTAGTGACTTTGAGCATGTTTTCATTTGTCTCTTGGCCTTCAGTATGTCCTCTTTCAAAAAGTGTCTATTTAGGTCCTTTACCCATTTTTTTTGATTGGATTATTTATATTCCTTTTGTTAAGTTGTATGAGTTCTCTGTAAATTTTGGAGATTAAACCCTTATCTGAAATAGCATTGGCAAATATGTTCACCCATGCAGTGGGCTTTCTTGTTGTTTTGTTGATGGTTTCTTTTGCTGTGCAGAAGCTTTTTATTTTGATGTAGTCCCATTTGTTTATTTTCTTCTTAGTCTCCATTGCCCTAGGAGCTGTGTCAGTAAAGATATTGCTATAACATATGTCTGCTATTTTGCTGCCTATGGAGTCTTATAGGATTTTTATGGTTTCCTGTCTTATATTTAAGTCCTTTAGCCATTTTGAGTTTGTTTTTGTGTATGGTGTAAGATGGTGATCTGGTTTCATTTTTTTGCATGTATCTGACCAAATTTCCCAGCACCATTTATTGAAGAGACTCTCTTGACTCCATTGTATACTCTTGCCTCCTTTATCAAATATTAATTGAGCATAATGGGGTCAATTTATGGGTTCTCTGTTTGTATATTATTTTTTATTTTAGTCAGTGTATGCTTAAATTCTGACTGGTGTTTTTCCATTATTTTGGAGGTGTCTAGAAGATTCTTGAGTAACCTTATAACCATGGTTTTGAACTCTATATTCAGTAGTTTTCTTTCTTCCATTCCTTTCATTTGTGACCCATTTCTTTGTCTCCACATTTTGCTGCTGTTGTTGTTACTGGGAGAAATTGACCTCCAGGCCAATTGGCTGTGAGGATCAGCTGCGACTACAGTGGGAGAGCTGCTATGCAGGAGACATCACTGTGGAGCAAGACTTGCTTCAGTGGGGCTTTGGTGCTCATTGAGTCTTCCCCTTGAGTGTGTTGCTTATGGATGTGCAGAGTTGTAATCTTGTATGGTCTGACACTGACCACTGGGAATACTGGCTCTGGTTCTCCAGGGAGGTGCAAAGTGAGAAGGAGCTACAGAGAGATCTGAAGATTCCTCCTCTTTGTATCAGGTTTGGAATTGCCCAGATGAGGTCCAGCTGTGAAGCAAGGCAGGCTGGTGGTGGTGCCAGGTCTTTGGCCTTTTCTTGATAGAAAGGCTCCCTGAACCAGCTGCAGCTTGTTTGAGATATTTTAGCCTGAGTAAGAACAGGCCATTCATATGCAAAAGTCGCTGCACACAGCTTGAGTGGGGTCTTAAGGAATCACCAGGGTGGAGAAAACAGAAATGGCTGCCAGTCAGCCCTGTGACTGGGGAGGTCCCAGTATAGGAACAATGACCCCTATAAGCACCTCCATCTGGGAGAAAGCTGCCCCCAAGTTCCTGCCCTGAGGCCAGACAATCCAGTTCCTCCTTGCATGTATCTGTGTTCTCCAGAGCCTCATCCTGGTGCTGGAGCTCAGAGGAAGGTGGGACCTTGTAAGTTCAGTTCATGGTGCTGGCAGTTTAAGAGAAACAGTTGGGTCTCCAGCAGCCTCTATGTCACTGAGCCCTAATAGCACTGGTTTTACTGCCCATAGGAACCTCTTTTCTCAGCTCTGGGACCCTGGACTGGGGGTCTGGTGTGGGGCTGGAACCCCTTGCTCCTCTGGGTGGCCTCTGCAGAGACGCTCTTCCTCCTGATTAAAAAAAGCGGCACATGTGGGTGCCAGACCAGCTGGTTCCACACCTCTGCACCTCCTATCTGTCTCAGTGTGCTTTCTTTTTTTTTTTTTTTAAAAAAAAATATATTTTATTGATTTTTTACAGAGAGGAAGGGAGAGAGACAGAGAGTTAGAAACATCGATGAGAGAGAAACATCGATCAGCTGCATCCTGCACATCCCCCACTGGGGATATGCCCGCAACCCAGGTACATGCCCTTGACCGGAATCGAACCTGGGACCTTTCAGTCCGCAGGCCGACGCTCTATCCACTGAGCCAAACCGGTTTCGGCCTCAGTGTGCTTTCTTATTTACTTCTATAGTTGTAGGACTTCAGTTCAGCCAGCTTTCCAGTGGTTGTGGATGATGGTTGTTCTGTATTTTAGTTGTAATTTTGATGTGTTTGTGGGAGACGGTGAATACAGGTGTTTACCTATGCTGCCATCTTCTTCTCTCTAGGATGTTTAAATGATGAAATACTTCCTTATGAAGTCCTGGCTTATTCTGTTCACAAACACACAGCTAAAAGCAACTTCCTTGCTTTTTTTGAGCCAATGAACAACAATAAAGTGGAGAGTGTTGTCAGTAACATGAAAAAACACCAATAAAGTATAATCTATGTACCAGGGATTATACTAAGCCCTTTATCTTTATCTTAGATAAGCCTATGGAATGAATACCTTCAAAGGAGGTGACATTATTGCACTTGCAGCTCTATCAGGGTATAAAGGCACTGAGAAAATCTGTGTTCATTTGGTGCATCCCTTTTATGGAGATGGTGTGGGGATGGGCATAAACAAGGCTTAGCGTAAATTTTGGGATGCAAGTAAGGGGAGTGGGAGATGATCACCTATCTGTTGTTGTCTTTCTCTATTCATTATAGACCTTGCTAATCAATAATATCCTCACTTCCTTCAGGGGCCCAACACCAATCTACGAGCGATGGCAGAAGAAAGGAAACTTCTTTGCTCGTTTGATCTAGCATATAATGTGTGCAGAACTGATTCAAAGAGATCTAATATTGTGCTTTTGTAAACCTGCATAGGTAGGTGTGAGGTCCTCCTTGCCTGGGAAGTTCTGGAAGGGCTGTGAGAAAATTCTATCAAAGTTTTTGTGTGTGTGTGTGTTGGAGGGCAAACTTTCTGCCAAGAGAATATGAAAGGGGTATATAGCAGGAGAGAGATCATGATCTTTAAATATATAACTAGAAAAAAAAACTAATCTAGGATAAAGGGTCCTGCAAAGTATATGCACCTATAAAAGAGGAACTTCAAGGATGCCCAGCATGTATCCCCACATTTACAATTTGGGGAGCAGCAGGACACAAACTGAAGAGGCAGGGATGGATTGTACTTGGGTCAAACTGTGACATTTCAGTCTGAATGTCTTCAGCTCTTAATGAACTAGCTAAATCTTTCAATAACTCATATACAATGTGGGGAGCCAAGCAGGGAGTAAATGACTGAAAAAGATGAATTGTAACCATTAAAACCTAGATTTATGTGATTCAGTAAATACTTTATGATGTTTCAACACACATAAAATGAATATTTGGAAAATGGATTAATTTAAAACCAATGGCATACAGTTTCCTATAATAATGGAGTCCTTTGGGTATTATTTCCCTAAAGGGTCAAAAATTTATTACTTATATCTATTTTATCTTTTGTTCTTGATGCTTGTACACTACAATAATTCTTACTTGTGTAAAGTGGAATACATATATGAAATATATATATATATATATACATATATAAAATTTTTAAAAATTCCTACCAGAGGATATTTTTCCATTGATTTTTAGGGAGAGTGAGAGAGAGAGGGAAAGACAGAGAAAAACATGGATGTGAGAGAAACACATTGATTGGTTGCCTCTTGCACAAGCCCCTGACCAGGGCCTGGGCCAGGGAGGAGCCTGCAACCAAGGTACGAGACCCTTTGGTCCACAGGCCCACTTCTTTCTGCTGAGCCAAACTGGCTAGAGCTAGAATACATATTTTTAGTTATATTTATACAAGGTGAACTCTTGCTGATCTCTTTTGCCAAAAGGATAGAATGTTATTCATTTCTTGATTATGAATGTTGTGCAGTGCTCAGTTGACTACGACCAGAGAGAGGAGAAAACTCAATATTTAGTCTCAGTTTGTATCTACCTTAAATATTTCAAATAACTGAGCTCATTTGGGCTGAGCTCTTTGCATCAGTGTTCAACATGAACACTTGCAAGAGCTAAGTCATTTTCTTAAATGTTTTTCTGACCTCCAGTGTTTGGTAAGGAACCTCAGAAGAACACAGCTTTCCAGTTAAATAAACATTTTTGAATAAAAAGTGTTATTGGTGGGGTGTTTTCTGTGTCCCCACCTGTTGCTGGCAGAAGTAGGCTTCTTTTGGTGCCATGGGAATGAGGACTTTCCTGAGGCCCACACGGGAGGATGAGGTGTTGCAGAAAGCTTTATTGGTGATGTAACATGAAGGGAGTTTCTCTTCAAGGCCCCTGTTTCCCTCTGTCTCTCCATGGAAGAAGTCTCATTTTGTCTTCAGCATGGCTAAGATCAAAGCTATGGCCCAGGGTTTCCGCTCCATATTTGCACAAGGCAGTCCAGCACCTGATAGCTTAGCTGTGTTCCCAGCTGCAGTCCATTGTGTGTGGAGTCTACATGGCCTATGCTTCTAGTGTCACATGGCTATGCAGGGAGCACGGGTGAGTGCAAGGAAGCAGGAGTGAAGCAAAATGAATAAGAAGAGGATTCCTTTGTCTGGGGATTATGTATTTCTAAATTTTCATGGGTTTGCATTGGCTCCACCCCTCTAGCCAATCCATGGTTCCTCAGGCTAGCTAGACCAACAGGCAAGCCTCTTTCCTACGTCACTCTGACTTCACTGCACAGACATCCATTTCTCCCTTTGGTGGGCCCCTTCCCCAAGTGGTTTTCAGGGAACAGCCAGTGGTTCCCTGTGGAGCATGAAGTTGCAGCTTCCTGGTGAAGCTGCCCAGATGACCGTGCTTATAATGTCTGGCCTTCCCTTGGCCTTCTTCCTATTATTAATATTATTAAACTGACTAGTTATGATGGTAACACAAGCATTCTATAGAATAAAAATTAACTATATAACTTGATAACTGTTGTAAGGAATGGAGGAAGAATATAGTGAAACCTTGATTGATGGGAAAAATAAGTAAGAGCAATATACTCAAGAAGGTCTGTGAATTGGTGCATGGTTGGGTGAGGGAACACCTTGTTCTTTTTAAAAAATATATATTTTTATTGATTTTAGAGAGAAAGGGACAGGGGGAGAGATAGAAACATCAATGATAAGAATCATTGATTGGTTGCCTTCTGCACGCTCCCTACTGGGGATCGAGCCGCAACCTGGGCATGTGCCCTGAACAGGAATCAAACTGGCTGGTCAAGGAACACCTTATTCTTAATACATAAGCATTCTTCCTTACTAATGTGATACTTAATTTTATTAACATGAATACTGAAGGTATTATAGCATTTCTTTTTGCTTTGAGTCTTAGTTCTTAATTTTATTTGAACATGCAATAGAAAGAGATATTAATATACTTTTGCTTTAAAGCATTAATTTAGTAACTATGGGATGTTTTCTTGTGATAACACAAATACTTAAAGGTAAAAATGCTAAAGGTGAAGCATTTGAAAAGTAGGAGATCTGGAAAGAGAGAAAGGAAGGAGGAAGGCAGGGAAGAACCCAGGAGGGAGGAAAGGAGGAAGTTAGGGAAAGAGAGGAAGGGAGAGGGAGAGAGAGAGGGAGAGAAAATGACTGGATGGTAAATCAGTTCTACATTTTCTCACAGGTACACCCACAGCTCTAAGGTGGTATGGAGGTCCACCTAGAAGTCTTCAGTGCAGCAAAGAAAAATCCTGAAAGGAAACCCTGTGTGTCATCAACTACTAATAAGGTAGGAGCCCAACTGGTGTGGCTCAAGGGTTGAACATCAACCTATGAACCAGGAGGTCACAGTTCGATTTTTGCTCAGGGCACATGATTGGGTTGTGTGCTGGATCCCCAGTATAGGGCATGCAGGAAGCAGCCAATCAATGACTCTCTCATCATTGATGTTTCTATCCCTCTCTCCCCCTCTCTGTTCCTCTCTGAAATCAATAAAAAGTATATAGAAAGAAAATCATACAGTAATTAATAGATAATAACACAAGAATGACCTGCTTTGCATGCTCACAACTGTAAACCTGTTAGCATAGGGAGGTAGTTAGTTAGTTAATAAAGCAAGGGAGCAAATGAATCAAACGTTAAGCCTAATAAACTAGGAGCTGAATTGGACATTAAACCTGATTTACTGGGAAGCTGTAACATTCACAAATTCCTCAAGGGACTGTTGCATCATCTGCCCTTGGGACTTAATCCCTGAGCAATTCGCAATTCGCTAGCAGGCAGGTAGGTACAGGGATTATTGATGGTGGTGGAGAGAACACGTGTGGGAAAATTCCTCTGCTGGGCTCATGAGCAGAAGCCAAGATGGCAACCATAAAGGGGAGATATCTAAGTGGGGAAATAATCAGATTAGATAAGGACATGGAAGGTCCAGGGAAGGAACTGGTTGAGGGAGGGCCTTCCCTTTGCAAGTAGGTTGGATAGTTTGAAAGAAAGCCTGCTCAGAAGGAAGGAGATAATAAAGATTAGAGCAGAAATAAATGACATAGAGACCAAAAAAACAATACAGAAAATCAATGAAACCAAGAGCTGGTTCTTTGAAAGGATAAACAAGATTGACAAACCTCTAGCCAGACTCACCAAGAAGCAAAGAGAGAGGACCCAAATAAACAAAATCAGAAACGATAGAGGCAAAATAACAACAGACCCCACAGAAATACAAATGATTGTTAAAAAATACTATGGACAGCTCTACTCCAACAAACTAGACAACCTGGAGGAAATGGACAAATTCCTAGAAAAATACAACATTCCAAAACTCAATCAGGAAGAATCTAAAAATCTCAACAGGCCAATAACTATGGAAGAAATTGAAGCAGTCGTCAAAAAGCTTCCAGCAAACAAAAGCCCAGGACCAGACGGCTTCACAGGGGAGTTTTACCAAACATTCAAGGAAGAACTAAAACCTATCCTCCTCAGACTACTACAAAAAATTCAAGAGGAAGGAACACTTCCAAGCTCACTCTATGAAGCCAGCATCACCCTAATACCAAAACCAGGTAAAGACAACACAATGAAAGAGAATTACAGGCCAATATCCCTCATGAACATAGATGCCAAAATCCTCAACAAAATCTTAGCAAATCGGATCCAGCAGTACATCAGAAAGATCATACACCATGACCAAGTAGGATTTATCCCAGGGATGCAAGGATGGTACAATATCCGCAAATCAATAAACGTGATACATCACATAAACAAATTGAAAGAAAAAAACCACATGGTCATATCAATTGATGCAGAAAAAGCATTTGACAAAATTCAACACCCATTTTTGATAAAAGCTCTCAGCAAGGTGGGAGTAGAAGGATCATACCTCAACATAATAAAAGCCATATATGACAGGCCCACAGCCAACATCATACTCAATGGACAAAAACTAACACCATTTCCCCTAAGAACAGGAACAAGACAGGGATGCCCCCTCTCACCACTCCTGTTCAACATAGTACTGGAAGTGTTAGCCATTGCAATTCGGCAAGAAGAAGAAATAAAAGGCATCCAAATTGGAAAAGAGGAAGTAAAACTGTCCTTATTTGCAGACGACATGATATTATACATACAAAACCCTAGAGACTCCATCAAAAAGCTACTGAACTTAATACATGAATTTGGCAATGTAGCAGGATACAAAATTAACCCCAAGAAATCCGAGGCATTTCTATACACCAATAGTGAACTTTCAGAAAGAGAGATTATAAAAACAATCCCGTTTACCATCGCACCAAAAAAATTAAGCTACCTAGGAATAAACTTAACTAAAGAGGTAAAAGACCTCTACTCAGAAAACTACAGGACGTTGAAAAAAGATATAGAGGAAGACATAAACAGATGGAAGAACATACCGTGTTCATGGATTGGTAGAATCAACATCATTAAAATGTCCATACTACCCAAAGCAATCTATAAATTCAACGCACTTCCCATTAAAATACCAATGGCATACTTCAGAGATCTAGAACGAACTCTCCAAAAATTCATCTGGAATAAAAAAAGACCTCGAATAGCTGCAGCAATCCTGAAAAAGACCAAAGTAGGGGGGATCTCAATACCAGATATCAAGATGTATTACAAAGTCACTGTTCTCAAAACTGCCTGGTACTGGCACAAGAATAGGCATATAAATCAATGGAATAGAATAGAGAGCCCAGAAATCGGCCCGAACCAATATGCTCAATTAATATTTGATAAAGGAGGCAAGAACATACAATGGAGCCAAGATAGTCTCTTCAATAAATGGTGCTGGGAAAATTGGACAGATATATGCAAGAAAATGAAACTAGACCACCAACTTACACCATACACAAAAATAAACTCAAAATGGATAAAGGACTTAAATGTACGACAGGAAACCATAAAAATTCTAGAAGAATCCAAAGGCAACAAAATCTCAGACATATGCCGAAGCAATTTCTTCACTGATACAGCTCCTAGGGCACTTGAAACGAAAGAGAAAATGAACAAATGGGACTACATCAAAATAAAAAGCTTCTGCACAGCAAAAGAAACCATGAACAAAACAACGAGAAAACCCACTGTGTGGGAAAACATATTTGCCAATCTCATATCTGATAAGGGCCTAATCTCCAAAATTTATAGGGAACTCATACAACTTAACAAAAGGAAGATAAACAATCCAATCAAAAAATGGGCAAAGGACCTAAATAGACACCTTTCAAAAGAGGACATTCAGAAAGCCAAGAGACATATGAAAACATGCTCAAAGTCACTAATCATCCGAGAGATGCAAATCAAAACAACAATGAGGTACCATCTCACACCTGTCAGACTGGCTATCATCAACAAATCAACAAACAACAAGTGCTGGAGAGGATGTGGAGAAAAAGGAACACTTGTGCACTGCTGGTGGGAATGCAGACTGCTGCAGCCACTATGGAAGACAGTATGGAGTTTCCTTAAAAAACTGAAAATGGAACTCCCATTTGACCCTGTGATCCCACTTCTAGGAATATATCCCAAGAAACCAGAAACACCAATCAGAAAGGATATATGCACCCCTATGTTCATAGCAGCACAATTCACCATAGCTAAGATCTGGAAACAGCCTAAGTGCCCATCAGTAGATGAATGGATTAGAAAGCTGTGGTACATCTACACGATGGAATACTATGCTGCTCTAAAAAGGAAGGAACTCTTACCATTTGCAACGTCATGGATGGAACTGGAGAGCATTATGCTAAGTGAAATAAGCCAGTCAATGAAGGAAAAATACCACATGATCTCACTCATTCATGGATAATAGAGACCATTATAAACTTTTGAACAATAATAGATATAGAGGCAGAGCTGCCTCAAACAGATTGTCAAACTGCAGCAGGAAGGCCGGGGAGGGTTGCGGGGCAGGAGGTAGGGGGGTAAGAGATCAACTAAAGGACTTGTATGCATGCATAGAAGCATAACCAGTGGGCATAAGACATTGGGGGATAGGGGAGGCTAGGGGACTGTCTAGGGCGGGGGGATAAAATGGACACATATGTAATACCCTTTGTAATACTTTAAGCAATAAAAAAAAAAGAAAAAAAAAAAAGACAGCCTGCTCATTCCTGAAAACCAAGAAGATGTATGGAGGAGTATCAGGGATCTCGGAGCAGTTGCTACTAGAGCCTGCTCCCCCTCTACATTCTTGAGGGCATATTATTTCCCTTCACCCCAATAAATCTCGCCACTACACTTAAACTTCTCCCACGCGTGTGAACTTTAAAATTCCTTTCTCATGACACCCCAAGAACCCCTTTTCACCAGCAACAAGCCTGCCCACCCCTGTATGTGCAGTAATTCAGATGTATATATTCAGAGGGGTCATCAGGAAACTAAAGAAAGGCAGGTAGTTAACTTCCTAGTTGCGGCTTAAAATGATTTTGTGACCTAGAAGGAGAAGCCTGTTCCAGACCTTACTCTTCTTATCTGTAAATAGAGAGGGGTTGGAGAACACCTATGGTGATGTCTGCTCACTAGTGTCGATGTGACTGGGAGGTTACTGTGGTGGTCAGATCTGTACTCTGGGACGCGGGGAAGGCTCTTGCATTTCTGCAGACTGGAGAATTGTAAGGTCCATCGCTGTCTTTGCCAGGAAGACAGTGGGTGAGTGTTGCAGTGACCGCACCTTAGTGAATGTTGACCAGGCTGTCATGCTAGTACTTTGTTCCTGGGTGTCAATGAAGCAGCACGTTTCATTGCTTGGCATGTCATTATTTGGGATTACCTTAAGCCCTTTTCTCAATCTAGCTGAACCGGATCCAGGATTTGAGCTACCTTTGTGTGAATGGGGCACCTTGCTCCAGGCAGTCCCCTAGGTGTCTGGCCAGAGGGCCAAACTGCCTGGACCTCAAGGCTTACTCTCCTTTTGTTCACCCCCACAAAGTTTTTTCTTATTTTGGAGAATTGACATTCATATAATATAATATTTAGTCTTCTAGTCTGCTTTTGTTTTAAAATTTTAAAAATATGACTTTTTTTTGTTAAATTTATCCCTTTTGGTTTTGACTTTTGTTTCTTTATTTTTTTAAAATACATTTTTATTGTCTTCAGAGAGGAAGGGAGAGGGAGAGAGAGATAGAAACATCAATGATGAGAGAGAATCATTGATTGGCAAACGGCATGCTCCAACTGACCAGAAATCAAACCTTGATCTCCTGATTCATAGGTCGACACTCAACCACTGAGCCCCGCCAGCTGGGTGACTTCTGCTTCTTTTAAATTATTCTTGGT